GTCACTCCTGTTGTGCCATTGTTTGATGGCCAGTGGGAGGCGTTTCATTGAGTAGAGAGAAAGGTGCACGCCTGATCTGCCTGCGAAGCGGTGTGTTTGCATTGATGCGTTTGAAGCATCTTCTTGCCATTTCTCTAGCTGTCTCTGCCAAAGAATTTATAGGGCATAAACATGATATGCTGTCGTGGAAAAAAAAAAAAAAAAAAAGGGAAGCCAGCCAGGCTCTGTATCCCATGTTCTTCTGAATTTCCTATAATACAGCCCATGAGGCAGGAGGAGGGCCTGGGGTTCTGCTCTGCTCCTCTCCCCAGGATGTCGGATACAGTGAGATTTGGGGAGCACTTTTGGAGTAGCTTTGGAAGTCTTAAAATGTAGAGCAAAGGTGAACTGGAGTGGGGGAAAACTAGTAAAAAGAGGAGGTGTGCTCTCTTGGGTTCATTTATTCTTCTGGTCACCCATATAAAAATCATTCATTCATTCACAAAACGAATTCTACCATAATAGTTTTCTAAATGTCTAAGGAGTGCTCTCGTGCTCAAAAGGAACGTCTTAGAATTCATTAGGTTTTACTGTTCAATTTACTAAAGCTTTGATTTTTAAACCTAGGTTTTCTTATAAATCTCACCTATAAACCAAGTGTTTTTGTATAAATTAAGATGATTTCCACTTGTTATTTGATTAGTACTTTGTTAATTTAGATTGAACAAATTGAATTTTGACAATTAGTACTGTTTGGAAACTTGGATAATTAAGTTTCCTTAAATATTTTAGACTCATAAGTTCAACATGCCTGGTTTCCTCAAGTTCTTCAAACATCTGACAGGGTGGACTTACCAGCCTAACAAGCAAAATCTTTCTAAGCACTTAACTCTTGCAAATCAAATAAACTAAAGTTAAAATGTCATAAATTAAGTTTTCTCAAACACTGTAATTCTTTTTTTACAGGCTGACCCCCAGTCCTTAAACCTTTCATCTTAAAAATCTCAAACCAGAAATGAGGAGTCATTTAAAATGGAAATCAGAGGACTGTTTTTATTTAGATTCCTTTAATATGCCCCATATTCTTTTAAGTATTATAAATATACAGAGATTATCCCAGTGATCACAAAGATTTCATCCTGTACTTAAGTATTCATATTGTGATTTACTCCCTCAGCTCCCCTCCTCTTTTTAAACCTTCCCAAGGATTTAAAGTCATCTGCTCCCAATGAAGGGGAATAGGTTTGTCATCTCCAGTGGGCTCCGAACCACCGTACGGGTTCAAGAGCAAGACGCAGGGATGGTCAGTCACATCATATTCCAGAATGATTGTTCCAGAGCCATAGCTGAATACACTGTAGTTCTTTCCGCTGTGTACCCTGGGTCCCTTGAGCCTCTTAGCTGGCATCTCATTTCACCATGCAGCAAACACAGATCCTCTGTGTTCCTTTCACATTTCCGTTGTAATCCATTTCTGTAAGCCCTTTCGACATTGCTCACCCGGACCTGGGTCAGTGGACTTTGGCACCCCGGGTGCAGGTTGTACCTAATTGCCTTTGCCACTTGATTTGATGCAACTAATGTTCTTCCTGCCTGAACGAATTCTGCATGCTTTCTACATTTTTCCTGTCTGACTCTTCAGCCACATGTCTGGAGTCATTTTACAAACAAATGGCAGTTCCCAGTTCGGTAGCATGAATATACCAAGTGACAGAAACTGAAGCAAACTAGTTTTGAACAAAAGAAAGGAATTTATTAATTCTCACTTCCAGCCACCCAGGGGGTGCTTCTGTCTCCCCAGAGCCTCAGGTATGGCTGGATAGAGGCGCTCATGTGACAGTCATTCCTCTCGACTCTGCTTCCCTCTGTGCTAGCTGCCTTCTCGGGCAGGTGAGGGTGAAGTGGCCCCTAGAGGTTCAGGCTCCATCTGCATCTCTTCCAGAGGTGTGCTTTGTTCTTCTCCGCATCTCCTGTGTGGTCATGCAGGCTGGGGGAGTGCCGTCTTTAGGCCAAGTTAGAAGAGATCATTCTGGCACTTGACAGCTCTTCAGAAGTTTATGGATGCCGTGAGTATCTGAGAGGGGCCCAGAAGAGCCAGCGTCTAGCCCCCACGTCCCCTTGTTAGGGCAGCACCGTTATCCCAGGGCAGCTCCTGCAAGGATTTTACCTTCAAGTCCCATCTTGGAACTCACTGACTCTGATCTTGGTGGCTCGTGATCCCTTACAGCCTGAATTTGGGGGAAAGGACAAGTTGGAAGTAACTGATTTTTACATCCAAACGGACTTGCCAGTATCCCAAAAGATCCAGAAGGGAGGGAGACCTGGCTGGTTCTCCATATGCAGGGATGGCTGGTCTCTGGCACAAAGAGAGCTTCTTGCTCAGCCCGGGCTGCCCTCTGTGTCACTGCATCCTCATCCCTGGGGTCCCCACGCCTGCCTTCTCTGGCGGCAGCCCCTGGCTTCTCCCTGTCCGGGCCAGCTCAGTCAGGGCAGCCCCAAGATGCTGCGGGCACCGATGTGGGAAGCATCACGTTTACAATAAGCGCCACATGCCCTTCTGGAATAACAGCTTGGTGTTGAAAGGCCATACGGGAGGAGCGGGTACAATTTCAAAGCAAAAACTCCGGGGCTTGGATTCATGGGCATCTGTTACTAACTTCCCGCCTTCTCCCTGCCAGCCACACTCCTCTCTTCAATCCTCTTTCTTCTTCACTGGATTATAGGAAATTTTAGATATATTAAATTGCTAACCCCAGAGAGCAGATGAAATTAAAGACTCCTGTGACTTTTTTTTTTTTTTTTTTTAATCATCATGAGAGCCGATTTGGGTCCTTTTTCATCTGTTAGGTCACGCTCTCTCCAGCGGAGCTTAACATGGTTGCCAGCCTAGTGGTATCATCCACGTGTCCCCCATAAAGAAACTGAGGCCTAGGAGTTGTGGCTTGTCGAAGAATGAGCTGGGGGGAGGAGGCCGAGCTCAGAGGCCACAGATGATGGTAACTTGTTGTGGGAGCTTGTCCTGTCTTTCTACTGCATAGGAATTCAGCCCAGAGGGGTTGGATAAGCATGTCCTATGCGCCTGGAGGTAGAGGGGACATGGCTCACAAAGGGGTGAGGTTGACATTGCTGCAGCATCGCCTTGCAAGTGGAGGTGGGAGTGCGGAGATGGCCTGTGGATAAGACCCTCCGAGCCTCGGCCTCCTCCCGAGAAAGTGAGCCATGTCACAGTCTGGTGTGCCCTGAAAGCTGACGTGGTGGAAAGCCATTTGGCATCACAGTAAAGAAGGTGGCTCTGGAGTCAGAACGGCTGGATCCAGGTGCTGTTCCATCTTTTACTGGCTGTCTGGTCTAGTGCAACCTTGCCTGCTTGCCTGCCTGCCTTTCTTTTTTCTTTCAAAGATTTTATTTTGGAGAGAGAGCACACACGTGAGTGAGGTGGGGAGGGGAGCAGAGGGAGAGTGAGGTGGGAAGAATCTCAAGCTGACTCTGTTCTGAGTGAGGAGCCCGACCCTGGGCCAGATCCCATGACCCCAAGACTGCGACCTGAGCCGAAACAAGAGTCAGGTGCCCAACCAACTGAGCCACCTGGGCACCCCACCTTTCTTACCTTTCTAAGCCTCAGTGTCTCCACCTGTACAATAGGAAAACAAGAATACTCATCTTTTTCCACTATATCAAGTAGATCAGATTACATTTATATCGGATGCTTACTTTGTAGTTCACTCGACTTCTCACTCGCATGAGTTTAAATTCACAAGTGTTTACTGAGCATCTGCCCTGTGCCCGCCACCCTGCAACCAAACAAATGAGAAAATATGGCAGGCTTGATTGGGGTGTGGGACGCGAGCACTGTAGGCCCAGGGACCCGGGAGGCCTTTCTGAGGAGGTGACGCTTAACAAGGAGGCAGGGGCGTGTCCAGGAAGAGGGACAACAATTGTAGAGTCTTGAACACAAGAACCCTGTTGGCATAGAAGAAGCACATGCGACTGGAGCCAGTGAGCGATGAAGAGGTGGGCCCGAGGCAGGACTGGAGAGGGAGGCCGGATCGGAGGCTCTTGAGCACCAGAGGAAGGAGTGTGGGCTTTAAGTGCCTGAGAAGCCCCTGGAGGGGTAGTAAGCTGTGGAGCCATAGGATGTGATTCATGTTTCAGAACGATGGTCCTGGCTGCTGTGAGGAGAACGGACTGTTAGGGAGAAGTGGGGCACGGAGCCCAGCGGCCTCTTCGCAGTCGCCCAGGCAGAGCTGAGACCAGCTGGAAGTGCAGACAGCAGGAGAGGTGGAGGGCTAGGCACACGCAGATACATTTTGCAGGTAGACGCCGTAGGACCAGGGGATGGGTTAAAAGTCTTGGTGGCAGTGGGACATGATGAGGAGAAAGAAGAACCATTGCTTCGAGGTTGGACTTGAGTGGTAGGCGTGGCCTCAGTGGATTTGTGGGCTGGGAAATGAACTCTATTTTCAATGTATGCTGGGATGCTATTAGAGTTAGAAGCGCTAATCGAATCGACAGGTGTCTGCTGACTTCTGGGGCTTTCCTTCCCTTGGCATTTCACTCCAGGAGTGGAGTCCAGAGAATTCGTAGAGCAGCTCATCTTTGCACTCTGACCCCGGGGAGAGTGCCACTCTTGACTCTGTCTGCTTCCAGCAGTAGTCCCCAAGCCCACCGCTCTTCCTCTGCCACTAGGTCTGCAAAGTAGCCATTGGCTTCCGCAGAGTTGCCAAGATGGAGTTGAGGATGGGGTAGGAGGCAGGTAGGGTCTTCAGCTCCCTCTGCTCAGGACAGCACGCTCCATGTGGGGGACGGTCCGTCTCAGCCACTTCACCCAGCTGCCAATCCAGAGCAGCAAGGATAGACGGTGCCCTGGAGGTGAGTCACGTTAGAGGCAAAAGAGGCAAAAGAGCTTCGTCTGGGACTTTTTGACACAGGCGCCTTCGGGGCTGGTATGCGCTTGTCTGTATTGTTGGCCTGAGCTGACCCAGCATGAGGTTTGGGTGCTCAGGATGTGTTTGTCTCGGCAGCTGGGATGACAGCAGCTCCGTCAGCAGCGGGATCAGCGACACCATAGACAACCTCAGCACCGATGACATCAACACCAGCTCCTCCATCAGTTCCTATGCCAACACACCTGCCTCCTCTCGCAAAAACCTGGATGTGCAGGTAAGCAACAGCCTCCTCCCGCAGCCCCTGCCAGCAGGGAGCCTCGGGCTTGAGGACCAGGGGGGCCATTGGGGTGAGCAGCATCCCCAGGTCCATGAGATGAGGCCTGATCACCTGCTCACTGCCTGTGTTCTTATCTCACTAGCCCTGGCCTCCACCTGCAGAGAAAGGGGGGTCAGGCAATGGGGCACTAGAAACAGGAATGGGGAGGCCTCACCATTGTCTGTGAAGGTCTTGATAAAAACCTATTTCCTTCCTGGACTTTCATTTCAGAATCTGTTTTTGGTTTGTTTTGTTTTAAAGAGGATGCTGGACTCATTTGGTCATTCTTAGCCTGGAGTGTGTGTCCTCTCCTAGCCACAGCGAGCCACCGCTGACCAGGGTACATGCCGATCTCCCCAGAGTGATGGGGTGGGAGCAAACATTGACAGCCTCGGCCTGGAAGACCAATAGCTCCTGACCAGAGGTTGGGAACTGTTGGTCTGAAGGTCACGTCCTCATGCTGGTATTTGTCCGTTGGCTTATGGTATCCCCTTCTTTTAAACCAGATTCCATGTCAAGTTTTATATCTATCTATCTATCTTTATTTATTTATTTATTTATTTTAAAGATTTTATTTATTTGACAGAGAGAGAGTGTAAAAGCAGGGGGGTCGCAGCAGGGAGAGGGAGAAGCAGACTCCCCGCTGAGCAGAGAGTCCAACATGGGGCTCAATCCCAAGACCCTGGGATCATGATCTGAGCCAAAGGCAGATGCTTAACTGACTGAGCCACCCAGGCGCCCCTGATTCCATGTCAAATTTTAAAAATTGCATTATTTCACATGAAAATGAGATTCTGGTTTCTCTTAAAGATCAGAATATATTGCTTTCTTGAGCCTATATTCTCCACATGGCAACAATCAACAGGTGTCCAAGTGTCTGCCCCCTTCAGACAGGGAGCCCTTGTCTCAGCGTGCCCCAACTGCTCCTTCAATATACCTGTCAGACCCCAGGGTGCTTGAGTTTTCAACCCCTACTTTAAAACTCTGAGACGGTATGTCTCGGATACTGTGCTCTCCCTTCTTTTGCTTCCAAAGTGGTTTCATGTGGGTGCTTTCACTCACCTTCACAGCGCTCCTTCGTGGGCAGAGGGGTTGGTTCTAGCAATCCCATTTTGCTAGGAGAAGAGTGAGGTGCCATCCTCATAGCCAGTCCCCAAGTTGGGACTGACCTGCGCAAGGACTGGCCAGCTCTGGTGGCCCTGGCTTATGTGGCCTGGGATCTTTTTCATGATGGGTCCTTCCCACCGGTGGGGACCACTGCCTCCAGTGAAACCACGCGAAGCTCTGATTGGGACACAGTCTCCCAGAGGAGCCTGGGGGAGGGCAGAACTGACACTTGTCCCCTTCCTTCACTCCCTTCCACGCCAGCTTCCTTTCTCACTTGTTTCTCTGCGAGACAGGAGGTTCTTTGGAAATTTCTATGCTTTCAAAAGTATCTTTTTTTTTTGAAGACAGGGCTAAATAAAGAACGTGTCAGAGTGTGGGAGTACTTGTGTCCCACAGAAATGTGGACGTTGACTGCCTGAGGAAATATGTTGGGTGTCGCCTCTGGGATTGCCTGTGATTTCTTGAATTTGCACTTTCTCCAGAATTTCTAATTATTTTTGAGTGAGAGTTGAATTGTGATGGTAGTGGTGAAAAAAAAAACACGACCCAAATGAAGGAGGCACAAGGTGTTGGGGGTGCTGATAATATTCTATATCTTGATCTGAGTGGTAGTTATGGAAGTAGGTTAATTTTATAAGACGTATTCAGGCTATATACTTAACATTGTGCATGTGATATATGAATGCTATACCCCATTTTAAAAGGGTAATTAAAAAAAAAAAACACATACGTAAGCCACGCTGCTTGAGAGTGATCACTGTTTGATCAGTGATTAGACAAAAATTAGAAACACAGCCAGCCTGTGTCCCTGCCGCCTACCCCCTGCCAACTTTTTTCCTTTCCTCATGGACACTAATTTTTTTTTTTTCTGAGAGTCTTTTTAATTTCAGGGTAACAATAACAAGCTCTTAGACTCTCCTTAGATACAGAGGTGGGGAACCAAGAGGAGAGGGACAGACAGGTTGAGGGGGGTGGCTTGTGGAGAGAGAGGGAGAAAGAGGGTGGGGGAGGGAGGGAGAGATGAATATCAATAGGTTTCTCTTTTGTCTACTTTTGGAGGTAGTCTTGCTTTTAAGATGCAGGTTGAGCCAACAAAACACTGATAGAAGAATCTCTTGTCTTTGTTTCCCTCCCACAAAGGTGGGATTGGCATCTGTTTTCCGTATTGATACAGAGTAAGCATCGGGGATTTACAAATGATTTCGTCTGATAGACTCAGATTTGGTTAAGGCCAGTGCCCCCTCCTCTTTGACCAGCTCTTTGCCTTTGTCTAGAAAATGTCACATCAGAAGAAGTTCAAGAATACTACACAAACATGTCTTTTGATCAGTTTCAGAAGGTTAATTTCAAGGGATGGAAGGGGTTTAATATTCGTTGGGTTGGTTTGTTTTGGTTTTGTTTTTTGGGTTTGTTTGTTTGTTTGTTTTGCTATAAAACTGCCTGAGTTTAAAATATTTAAATAAAAACTAAGCCAGTAGGTCTTGGAATACAATAAATGCGGACTTGCACCAATAGTTACAAAGATTCCCAGGGAGGTGGTTTCTCTGGCATCCCTTTGTTCCTGTCCAGGGAGTATCTCCAAATATTTGAATCAGCGTAAATTGCAGCCTCGTCCCCTCCTCCCCTCATCCCACTCTGAGGAAAGCCAAGGGCCATTACTCCTCTCAGAGCAGCACCAGGCATCGGGAAGATGTGCGCTGCCATCATTCCCCGGGGCTCGTTCAGGTTTCTGTCACAGCCTGGCTTCCCCCATCGAACGGGGAGTGCGCAGTGTCCCAGGCAAGGCAGGGAGAGGCAGGAAGCCGCAGCTAAGCACGTCTGCCGGGAAAGCAGGTTGAGGACAGGTTGCCTGGCCAGGTTTGCTATTGGAAAAGCTGCTGAGGAACTGCTAAAAGGAAATCCATCCAAGGAACAGGGAAGTTGTGGTCCAGAAGCCCAAGGAGCAGCCTTGTTAGCCGAGCAGATCACAGGGGAGCTGTCCTTGAGAGACGAGAGCCCCCTTTGTCTGTGAGTGACTGATCTCCTCAAGGATGTGGAAGGGCACTGAGGGTGCCCTCGGCGGGATGCACATGCCCAGGTGTCCGGCACCAGGCCTCCTATCACTGCTCCCAAGCTGGGCAGAGAATCTCCTGGCTTGAGGTCTGACAACCTTTCGACGGACTTCCTCCATGAGGACTGGTGAGTCCAGTTGGGCCAAACCAGGTTGCGGGGTCAGGGAGAAGGGGTTGAGCTCCTGGTTCTGTGGCATCCTCGGATAAGCTAACCAGCCTCTTCAAGCCTCTGCCTCCTGGTCCGTAAAATCACAGCAGTTAGACTCGTCTCAAAGGAGGAATGTGGTAGTGACATGGAAATACTTTATCTGAATGTGCTCTCGTGGTATTTCATTCTTGGTAGGTACTCAGGAGTTTTCTTTTTTTTTTTTCTTTTCCTTCTTTCCTTCCTTCCTCTGGATTACCTGTCCCCCTGCCTCCCTCCCTCCATTCATGTCAGTAACCAAAGTTTGTGTTCTTAATATATCTTGCAATTCATTTTATATTTTGCAGCATTTTATTTTTAGGACAGAGGACTTGTAACAAACACATCTCTCTCCCCCACGTAATCATCTGTCCATTCACGTCCTTGGTCATTCAGTATTTCCTCTCAGTCTGTGGAAGGTTCCATTCCAGGTGCCAAGATACAGAGAAGCCTGTATCAAAATTCCTTTCATTTTCACTGCCTGTGAAGTTTTAATATACGAGAGGAGGAAGATAATTCCATGTGAGTTTAATTTTTGCTACTCAAGGAAATAAAATTCTGAATTCTGTGGCAAGGATCCCTGTCCTGTGTGAGGCCTCGAGTGAGCCTGGAGCTCTCTAGCTGTTCTCTGGATGTTGGTCTGGATGCAGGGATAGGGTTTGGCTGGGGGCAGGGAGGGATGCCCCTTCTGCCCACCTGCTAGGTGCTGCTGCTTATGATTATAGGCAAGTTACTTGCCTGTACTTTCCTGGTCTGTAAAATATGGATAATAGTACAAGCTCAGAGGATTAGATGAGCTAATAATGTATGCAGAAGGACACGGTGCCGACCTAGCAAGAGAAGTGGCAGGAGATAATGCTGATGCTGATAATTACTTCTGTGATGACTGCAGTTGCAACTTGAGCCAGTTCAGCATCTTGATCAGCAGGGGATGTGGGCGTGAAGAGGGCAGCGTCCCGGCTTCTAGAGGCTTGTGGCCCAAGAGCAGGAAAGACGAGTACCTTGTTCACCCTCATGCAGGACAAAAATGGAATAAAGACAACCAAGTGTTCAAGGTTTTCAGAGGTGGGAGAGTTGGTGACAAAAGAGCCACTGTGTGAGTCCCTCCACATTTAGTGACAACTATCTACCTTCTAAGACTCCTCTGTCTGTTCCATCTCCATTTTATGCACAGGTCATGACCTTAGAGGAGGTAACCCACTCCCTCCAAAGGAGGGAGAACCCAGTACCTGAACTCAAACTCCAAGCCCGTGTTCTCCCCAACACATCAGGCCACGTGGCCCACCTTGGTTCCACCCTTTCACTCTCAGATCAGCCTCCCTTCTGTGGTCCCTGAGCAACCTGGGCCCTCAGTGGTGAACCCTCCAAAATTTCAGGCCTTCTCCCCACCTATGTTTGGTTGTTTCCCTACCTTCCCTCTGGGATGTTGAATGAGTAAGTGGACTTCCAGTTAGGGGCAATAGGAAAATCTTGCCAAAATTAGGTGCCATTTGAAATGAGAACAACTGATGAAGGCATGAAGAGCCAAGGGAAGGATACAGCTCTTTGTACGTCCCCAGGCAGCTGCCCTGCTACCCTTCACTTGTCAGCTCTGGGAATTTTTCATCTTTTTTTGTTTTAAAGATTTTATTTATTCATTTGAGAGTGAGAGAGCACGAGCTGAGGGGGTAAGGACAGAGGGAGAGGGAGAAGCAGACTGCCCACCAAGCAGGGAGCCTGATGCGGGACTCGATCCCAGGACTCTAGGATCAGAGTTCTAGGGGTCGCACCCAGAGGGTAGGCTAGAGCTGCTTCAGTGCTGGAGTTGGGGAACAGAAGGAGAATCTACTGGGTGTAGGAATTGTGTGAGGTGCTGCTAGGCCTGCAGAAATGTCTCATGTCCTTGGACTTATTCTCCAGGAAGGCAGTGTGGCATAGTGGTTAAAATCTGGGCTCTGCATTTGAGACTCCCTAGAATCCTTGGATCTCCATTTCCTCACTGTGTGGTCTTGGGCAATTTTCTTTTCTACTGTGTGCCTTAGTTTTCATATGTAAAATTGAAATATGAACTGTAACTTCCTCATGGATTCTTGGTGAGGATTAAATTAAATAATAAATGAAAAGCACTTTGGCCCAGTGCCTAGCACATAGTAAGTGCTTAATAAATGTAGTTGTCACTGCTACATGTAGTCACTGTAGCATGACTACAATTTGATTAGGGAGAATAAGGTATGGGAGCATGCAAAGAATAACTAATATAGTAACCCAGAATGTAGTTAAGTGCTAAGTTTTCAGTATCTCCTGGAGTATGTTAGAATGTGTCAGAATATACTTGAACATAAACTCCAGGAAGTTAATGACTTGTATTTGTTCTTATTCATTCACTACAGTGGGGTCCCAGGCCCCATGAGTTTGCCTGGCATATGGTGGCACCCAGGTAATACCTGCAGATTGAATGCTTCTAAAGGCAATCTCTTTCCTGCCTCAGGACCTTTGCATGTGCTCTTCCCCCTGCCTGGAATGCTCTTCCCTAAACTCTTCTCAGTAAGTTTGTTCTCACTCTTCAGGTTACTTCTTCAAAGGGGACTTACCTGACCACCGTCCCCCATCCTCCTCCTCATCAGCTAAATTACATCAGCGTATTTTTTTCTCTTACTCCTTGTCCTTTTTCTTATAAAATCTTCATAATTCATAATTACTCATTTATTTGTATTTATTTTTTCAACCTCTGCCTCTGTCACTGGATCGTAAACTCCAGGAGGGATGGGACTTAATCAGACCCGCAGATCCTCAGACCTTCCATGGCGCCTGGCAAATGGCGGGCTTTGAGGAGTTCTGGTTGAAGGAATCTACTGGAAGTGTTTAGAGGAAGGAACACGGGCTGGAGTAGTTGGGACAGGGAGTGGGTAACTTTAGTCTCCGCTCATCTATAAAACTGAAATGAAGGCAATACTATGTACTGTCGTGACGCTCCTTAACCAGAGAGTGGTCAGAATCAGAGATCGTTTTGTTGAAGTGTGCTGTAGCTTGAAAAGCATGTGTTCATTGGTTCCCTCCTTTACTCATCAAGCCTTGATGGAGCTCCTGCTCTGTGTTCAGATGCAGGAACACCCCGTCTGTGTCCTTGCCACAGCTGAACGGGGGGATGCCTGCAGTCAGGGAGTGAGTCTTTTGTCCCCCTCCTGTTCTGGTGCCTGGTACCCGGAGGGAACTCAGTATGTGTTTGAGGAATGACTGAACAAGTGAAGGCACCGTCAGGTTGCCGTGATGGAGGACTGGAATTTAGAGGGGGGTGCGGGGTTGAGTGGGGAGAGAGAGGCCGTGGTGGTGACCGAGAGGTGACTTAACTGGGGCTGCTTGTCTGTATTCAGCTTTGTCCCATACACCGGTGAATCCACAGAGGAAAGCATCGATACCACTACTGCTCTTGGATGAAAGGCATTAGGCCAGATTCTTGCTGGGTAATCATTCGGATTTCCTGCCCTGCTGGTGTTGCCCACTGTTGGTAGTTAAGCATAGCCAACACGGGCCTTGTCACTCAGCGTGGCCGCCCTAAAGTATTGCTAACTCCCACCCGCATTCACTGCACTGTTTCTCCCTACTGGCATCCTCTTGGACCGGCCCGGGCTCCCTAGGGAAGCCCCTAAAGCCTTCTGGTTAGCTTTGTGCCTTTTCACTGCGGTGAATCATTAACATCACGCTTCTGTCCCCTCCTGGGTTCCATGGTCAGCGGGTCAGGGCTCTTCCAAAGAAAGCTAGCTAATTATATCCCTTGTCTGAACCAAATCCCACAAGAGGAGCGAAGCAGTGGCATATAAATGGAGCCGGGCGGGAGCAGGCACCTCTGGCTTTTGAGGGTTTGTTTTCCCCCAGCCCCTCTCTCTCTCTCCCTGATCCGCGTGGAACTAGCAGCCGCCCTCGCCTGCTCCGTCTGCGTGTTAGGCTGTGGCGCTGTGCTGTATTCAAAGATCTCGCTGCTAGTGGAGGGATAGGAAGACGGCAGAACAAAGGGAAACAGGCCAGGAGGCTGCATGCTGGTTGAAGAGAGGTCTCTGGAGTTAGAGGCGATTGTTGCCAAGTGACAGAGAGTTGGTCGCTGAATTCTCGCCCCGTCTCTGTCTGCTCACGTTTCTCCTCCATGGGGCTCTGTCCCCCTTTCCCTCTCAGCCCGTCCCACTCTCCTTCGTCACTCCCTTCTAGGACATAGTTATATTCTGTACTTTCCTCCAGCCAAAAAAAAAAAAAAAATCAGGCTTTCTAGCAAGATAACCAGACTATAAAGGCCCGGACACTTTCAAGTAGTCATCTGTCATTGTACTGGCATTCTCGCTCTGGGCTGAGCGGCTCCAGGCCTGGGATTCTGGAAGGCCTAATTCAGCGTCTCATCCACAGACCGACGCTGAGAAGCATTCGCAGGTGGAGAGGGGTTCCCTGTGGTCGGGCGATGATGTCAAGAAGTCAGACGGAGGCTCAGACAGCGGCATAAAGATGGAGCCTGGGTCTAAGTGGAGACGGAATCCCTCGGATGTGTCTGACGAGTCTGACAAAAGCACGTCGGGCAAGAAGAATCCGGTCATCTCCCAGACGGGCTCGTGGCGGCGAGGCATGACCGCGCAGGTGGGCATCACCATGCCGAGGACGAAGGCGGCTGCCCCAGCAGGCCCGCTCAAGACCCCAGGAACTGGTGAGTAAGAGGCTGCGCTGCCTTGCATCTGCATTTGTCCGTCTGAAATCCAAAACCTGCAGTCACTTGAGCAAGAGCTTCAGTCCCCATCAGTGCTCAGGTATTTCTTCTTTGAGTTTAGACTCTGCTAATAACTAGCTTTCGGAAAGGTTCACATCCCTACCTTTTCCCAAGTGGAAATAGGTAAGTGTGCAAGCCTCAAACTCCGAAGATGGTTCAGCTGCCGAGGTGTACGGAATGGGTTTAACGAGGCACTAGGGAAGAGCCAACACGCCCGCGTGTAAGCTGCTCAAGACCATGAGTTTACGAGCTGCCTTTATGTCCAGTCTGTGTTGCCCATGATTTAGGGATGTGTGTAAACAAGGGTAGTGTTTTTGCAGGAAGGCAGAGGTGCCCCCTGAAAATGTTAAGGAGAGCCTTTTAATGGACAGGGAAGAAAGGTCAGTAGAAGGCAGGATCTCTTGCCCACACATATCAGTGATTGGCTGGCTTCGCTTTGTTCTGGGTAAATTTAGGCTGCTTTGCAAATGTGTAGAATCATTGACATCTCCTAGAAGGCTCACGGTGACAGTAGTAGGCTCGATTATCTTTATAAAAAGGCTACTGCTTTCCCCAAGGAAAAAGTGAACCAGTTCTTTGGAGGAGGGGAGGATCGTAAGCAGATGGGGCTGTACGCTTCTTGGTGTGCACGCTAACCTCGCTGCTTTCTCCCTTAGGAAAAACAGATGATGCAAAGGTGTCTGAGAAAGGAAGACTGTCTCCCAAAGCCTCCCAGGTGAAGCGCTCCCCATCAGACGCAGGCCGCAGCAGCGGTGACGAGTCCAAAAAGCCCCTCTCCAGCACTTCCAGGACCCCCACTGCCAACGCCAACAGTTTTGGGTTCAAGAAGCAGAGCGGCTCGGCCGCTGGGCTGGCCATGATCACAGCCAGTGGGGCTACCATCACCAGCAGGTCAGCCACACTGGGCAAGATCCCCAAGTCATCCGCACTCGTCGGTCGGTCCGCTGGCCGGAAGACGAGCGTGGACGGGGCTCAGAACCAGGACGATGGGTACCTGGCTCTCAGCTCCCGGACCAACTTGCAGTACCGGAGTTTGCCAAGGCCCAGTAAGTCCACCAGCCGCAACGGGGCCGGGAACAGGTCTAGCACCAGCAGCATCGATTCCAACATCAGCAGTAAGTCCGCGGGCCTGCCGGTGCCCAAGCTGAGGGAGCCTTCCAAAACGGCCCTGGGCAGCTCTCTGCCCGGTCTGGTCAACCAGACAGATAAGGAGAAAGGCATCTCATCCGACAACGAGAGTGTGGCTTCCTGTAACTCGGTGAAGGTGAACCCGGCGGCCCAGCCTGTGTCCGGTGCGGCTCAGGCGACGCTCCAGCCAGGCACCAAGTACCCCGACGTGGCCTCTCCCACGCTCCGCAGGTAAGCGGGTCGATGGTGCTGAGCAGAGCTGGAGTACGTGGAATGGCATCCCGAGTGAGTCATTTTTTTTTGTTCCTCGGTGAAAACAGCCTCTGTGTTTCTCCACTTCTGTTTAGTCAGAGCCTGCCAGCGATTTTGTAGTCTGCTGATTATTTCCCCACACAGGGAGGAAAAACCTAAGTGTCTGAATCGGTCATCCTGGGTTCGAATCCTGAGTCCACCTTAATTAGCCACCATGTATCCTTTCTTAACAATTCTGTTTTGGCTTCCTCATCTGTAAAATGGGAACACCTACCTGAGATTTCATGTGAAGATTAACCTACGAAGCCATATCTGGCCCATAGTAGGTGCTCAGTCAAAGCTGGCCACCCTCCAAGATGAGATCTTAATAATCCCCCTAGACCCCAGGTGGGTATATGAGGGGAAGGCAGAAGATCTTCCTCCCCTCCCCTTGTCTTATTAATTCTGTGGCTGAGATTCTTCATCATTATGCCAGACCGTGAGCTCAGCCAGATCCTTCTTCTCTCAACCAGCCCAGTATCCCCCCTGCCACATACTTTTTTATACTGCATGCTTAATTCCAAATTTGTTTCTGAAATTTTAGCTTTCTTAAAAAAAAAAGCTTTTAAAGCAGGAGTGTTTCTGAAAAAGAGAAGTTGATTTCTTACTCCCTTAAAAAGGCATTTTCCCGCATTTCCACACTGAATGGAAATTTTTATGTGAAAACAGTGTTATTTTTTAAACAGTTCCTTTCTAAATGTATAAGCTTTTGCTTGCTCATATTATCTCATTATCATATCTGCTGGACCATCCTCAAACTGCAACTGCGTAGGACAGAGCTTATCTTACCTTCCCAGGAAATGGCTTATCAACTAGGAAAGAGTATAAGTACTGGATATAAAATTAAGTAGTGAAAAATAAAGATTATGTGCCCCCATGTACATATTTTGGGGGTGAATAGGAATGTTTGAAAAGACTTCAGAAGAAGCATGTCACGTGAAATGTGTAATGAAGCAGTTCCCTGTTCTTTGTCTAGACTTGATTATTAGAATTTCAGTAATGATTATTTTTTCAGGGGAAGGTCCTGTTGGGCTGCTCTTTGTTGTTTTAACAGGTTGCCTTGTAAATGAAAATTTTCTCTGCTTCTTGCCTCAAGGATTATATGTAATATTCACTCGTTGGTATTATAGATTTCCTTTAGTAACTACAAAGGTATTTTACTGAACCCTTAGGCTACCGTGATAGAATACATGAAAATGCATGCAGATTCTTAGTCTTGACATTGAACAACTTTCAGCCAATTCCTGTTAATTACATTTTTCCTAAATCATTAAGAGGTGTTCTCAATTTCCTCTTTGTGCATTAGTACAGAGAAGAGAAATCTTAGATCAAGTGATAGCTCTCTTCAAATGATTTGAAGGACTAGCAGACAAAAGATTGGGCTTTTTCTCTGTAGTTACCTGGAGGAGAATTAGGGGCAATGAGAAAAAGTAAAGAAGATAGATCAGATTTTGGTTTTCTAGTGATTAGAAGTGCTTGACAATGGAATGAGTTACCCTTAGAAGTAGTGAGGTTCCTGTTAACTGGAAGTATGTAAGCACGCCAAAGCCAAGATTCTACGAGAAGATATCTAGATCATTCTCTGGTTGTCATCAGGCAAAAAAGATTGTTTTCTAATCTGTCACCAGGTACTGTAGTGAGGATTGATTATGTGTATGTATGTTTGTTCTTACAATAATTGGGATTTTTAAGGACTCCCAGGAGAGAACAAAGATCAGACTCATGCCGTGGAGTAGCTGGGTGCAAGGCAACCTGCCTCTCAAGATATGTAGTAGTTTTATGACTGCAGAGATGCACATTCCACGAGGGTTTGGTGGCTGGAATTACTTGCATTCCTAGAGCATGTACCGGTCCTTGGACTTTAAGACAGTTCTGCCATTCTTCATAGAGAGTCCTGTTGCCAAAGGAAGAGAGACACACATGTGCCATTCCCTGTGTTTCAGATGGCACATTTTTGGTCATCAGCAGGGGGGATGACATGGAATGACATTTCTGTCTCTAAGACCCAGTGTGTCTGATCTTACATCTCATGACTCCAGTAAGATTTCTGTGTAGATCCTTGGGTAGGACTAGCCTCCCATCTTTCATATGGGCGTTCACTTGAGGAGAAATCCGTGAAGATACTTCTCCCAGGCCCCATCCAGGTCTAGACTCGTGTTCTTGATTGTTCATGTCATCCTTAGAGACCAAAGCAACCAAAACCTTTGGAATTGAACTGTCATAAACTGAGTACTGCTTTGTGTCCAGGGTCTCAGATACAAAGACGGCTAAGACAGCTCTTTTTCCTCTAGATGTTTCCCGGGCCGGGACAGTTTTCTAGTTACCCGATTTTTGGAAATAAAGGGAAGCAAGATCTGGGACCATCATGGCTAGGCCTATAGAACATTATTTCGTGTTGCCCTTGGGGTTTCGGCTACAGCCTAGAACTTGAAGCTAGAGCCTTGTGATACACTGGTGTCCAGGCCCCCTGCATGGTGGCTTTTCCCAGTGGAGCACCATTAGCCATTTCATACTTTAACGGCTCGGCGCCCCTCGTCGCTGGCTGTTCAACCTGCACAACCCTTTGTCTCTTCACAGACTCTTTGGTGGGAAGCCTACCAAGCAAGTGCCCATTGCCACAGCAGAAACCATGAAAAACTCAGTGGTGATCTCCAATCCTCATGCCACCTCGACCCAGCAAGGTAACTTAGAGTCCCCCTCAGGCAGCGGCGTCCTGAGCAGTGGGAGCAGCAGTCCTCTCTACAGTAAGAATCTGGATATCAACCAGTCTCCTCTAGCCTCCAGCCCCAGCTCAGCCCACTCGGGCCCTTCCAACAGCCTCACCTGGGGCACCAACCCCAGCAGCTCGTCCGCGGTCAGCAAGGACGGCCTGGGCTTCCAGTCTGTCAGCAGCCTCCACACCAGCTGTGAGTCCATTGACATCTCCCTCAGCAGTGGAGGGGGGCTGAGTCACAATTCCTCCACGGGCCTCATCACCTCCTCTAAAGACGACTCCCTGACACCCTTCGTCAGAACCAACAGCGTGAAGACCACGCTGTCGGAAAGGTTGGTGCCGTGCACTCGCATCTCTCCGAGGACACCCTTCCGCAAGTCAGAGGGTTTATGTTAGGGATCCCAGATGTCCGTTCACCTTTGCCTGGGAGATGGCACTCTTTCCAACCACTGCTGTCTTTCCGTGGGGAAGCCAGGTCGGGATGGAATTCAGCTCGGCTCTCCTTCCTGTTACCTTTTCCATCGTGGTTATTCTCAGTGCTTAGAGCTGCCGGCAGTCTCTGGGGGGCAGGTTTAATGCTCCCTTTTGAAATGGCATTCCTCCTTGGAGGTCCTTCCATTTTATCCTGTTTCAGCTGCTTGTTTCCCCTCCCCTTGTCCTTGTGCAGGCAGAGTGGGGGGCGGGAAGCATTGTAGGCAGCGGGGTGGACTTGGTGGGCATCATGGCAGACACCCTCCTACCGAAGGGCTGCCAGCCAGAGTGATCAGGAAACTCAAAGCAGCCTCAGAGCCCCGGATTTCACTGCAGCGTGCTGTGTGTCGTGTTTCTCTACGTAGGCGAGAACGCTGGGATCTGCACTGGGACTGAGAAAAATGTTCTAATCACTGTGTGTGTAACGACCCCTCCCCTTTCTTCCCATCTAATGTTCCTTCTCTTATTTTCTACCTGCCTGGACTTCTAGCCCTCTCTCTTCCCCTGCTGCTAGCCCTAAGTTCTGCAGAAGTACTCTGCCCAGGAAACAGGACAGGTAATGACGTTGTAGGCTGGGGACCCCACCGAGCCTCCGGGTTCCTCTGCCCATCTGTGTCAAGCCAGACGTCTTGTGTGAGGCTGTTGGCCTGAGGCTTCCGCTTGTGTTCGTGGCTCTGATGTACCCTGTGACCCCAGACATGCCAATGAGGGTCTGCCCCACTGTCCACGCCAGCCCTGGAAGCGGTAGAGTCAGGCCGGCCCGTCCCTCCCCAGCTTGGGAAGGAAGCTCAGCCGCTTGAACTGGGGCGGCAGACGCCCTCACTTGCATCTCTGCCTTCCTGTGGCATGTTCCCGCTTCCCAGCTCCCCGGCTTCCCATCCTTTCTCCCGTCTCTCTCCCCTCTCCCTCCCAGCCCAGAAATGATCCACCACCCGCTGTGCGGCACAGCCCTCACCTTTGTCTCCCCCCCCCCGCTCCCCACGCAGCTGGCTCTCTTCCCTTCCAAAGTCCTTTCCTGCAGTTTGGCTGTTGCGTCTTGCAGGCTGTTGTGTTCTGTGTGCCCGTTTCCTGTAATGATAATGAAAAAGAGGATGTGGAGGGTTGAGGCTCTACAGACTAAGAGGCTTGCTTGCCCCTAGCTGCCCTGTGGGTGGGCCTCAGAGATGGACACTGACCTCCGGTTTGTGGGGGAGCCACAGCTTGGCCAAACATAATAACCAGATGTTGTTTCATGCTAGAAAAAAAAAATTAATGAAAATCCTCTTCACCCCGTCAACAGCAAAAACTTTGTTTTTGTCAGATTCCCAGACCAAGCCTTTAAACCCTTATTCTTTGGAAATCCAAATGCCTTGACTTTATCAGCCAGCAAGTTGTAACATGCCCCGACTCGGGCCCAGGGCTCAGCTCCGAGCCACAGCAAAGTAAGAGGGACCTGGAATTCACGTTGTTACAGATGAATTCCAAATATGCAGAACTGCTGGCCTCTTGACACCCTCCAGCAAGTCCCTTCTCTCACGGGAAGTCCTCGTCAATGGCATTTGGGGGTGGGCCAGAGGTAGGGGTGCAGGGAACCTGGCATCTCTCTCTCCGAGAAGCAGTGGTGCTGGTACAGGGCTGGGTGACTGGGCAGCAGAAGGTGTGGGCTCTGCTTTGACCTGGGGCAGCCCCTGAGTTTTGCTTGGCACCTGTGGCAAAGGAGGAAGAGTTGGGGCCCAGTGGATGGCTCAGGCCTCCTGGTGCCTCGGAGTAAGGTATGCGGTGGTGTCAGCCAGGCCCAGGATCAGGTTTCTCTTGTTTTCCGTGGATGTGGATGTGTTGCATGCGCAGCTGGATATAAGGGAGCCCTCCCTGGTGCCGTGAGTCTCTTGCTGCAGATCTCCGGCCCCTCCTTAGCCTTTCCCTCCTTCCCTTGCCTGCTTTCCCTGTGCTTCTCTGAAGTTCTCATTTTTGTTTTAACTTTCCTACAGTGACCCGCACCTTGATAGGAACACTTTGCCTAAAAAAGGACTCAGGTATCTGCGTTTCCTCCTTCCATCCGTGCCATCTGGTGTGGCTTTGGGGCTTGGCTGCGTGACTCTCATGGCTGGTGGGGGTTTGGGCTGGGCTGGGCTGGGGTCCCCGCTTTGGCCACCGCAGCAGGACCCTCTGAAACGGGGGCTTCCCCCGGCCCCCTCTCATTCTCATCGCTCCATCTGTTGGCTTTTTTGCTTGGGCAGGGGCTGTGCTTTTTCAGGCTTACTGTGGCGCAAACCATCTCATGAAGAACATCCCTGGGCAAGCCCAGAGAGCAGTGACTGCTACTCGTGGGACCAGCGGGTTCAGTCGACGAGCTCTTCACCTTGACCATTCTGCTCACGGCCATCTTCCCAAAAGAAAGGACGTGACTTACAGCACATTGGTTAGCCAGGACATGGACAAAGGAGAGAAATACCTCCCCCCAAATTGGAAAATATTTAACTTTTCGGGCCACAGAAAATTACTAAAGGCAGATGCTTGGCCCTTCCTAAATATTCTCATTGAAAAACGTGTCAGTTTTCGGTCCCTGACAAGACATGGGTGTGATTGGCTTTGGTGTAAAGAAAAGCCTACCAGGAGGGAATGTCCTTCCATTCATCGTAAGTCGTGGCTCATTTTTGGTGCAAGTCCTGGTTAAGCAAGATGCCGTAAGTCCCCGTTGCTCGCGCCATCTCCTTCACTTTGCCAACCGGAGGGACTCCAGTTCTAATGCCTGCCCCATGGTCCTACTGTATGATGGTTGCGGCTGTCATTTCTCCTGCTCTTTAAACACCTCGTTCTTCGTAGCATTTGCTTCACCCTGCACTAAGCATTAAGTGCTTTCACCAAAAAAAAAAAAAAAAAGGACTTGGAATGAAATGTTTCATTGCTGTCATGTATGTCTGTAGCTAATAACCTGCAGCTCTTAAGGCTGAGAGCATTTTGAGCAGTAATGGGAGGTAGGTATCAATGCTGCCTTTCAGTAGGAACTCGAGGAAAGCCAATTCTGAGAATCTAAGAATAAAAGTATTGAAAATCCTCCATCAGACGTCCTGCGGGAGGAAGTTCAGCACTGAGGCCATGGAGGAGGGGAGGTGGCAGGGCCTTTTGTGCTTCAGTTTTCTTCGTGCCTGTGAGGGCTTCTTGTCAGCACCCAAGCTAATACTTAGATCATGGCCACTCTCAAGATGAGTTTGACATTAATGCCCCGCTCTTGCCTCTAAATAGTAACTATTTAGGAAGTTGGCCCCTCTAAATGGGAACATTTTGAAGTTATAGATAGATATTTTTTTCAGTAGTTCTAGTCTATCAAAATGATGTAGCTCTGGCTTTTTAAAATTGTTTTTTAAAATTTCAGAATAGAGATATGTGCTAGGCTCTCTTCGTGCAATTGATGTGACCTAGAAAATTGTACGTCCATCACCTATAGCAGAAACATTAAGGGAGAAACCTTTTTTTGCGCCTTCTCACTCTCTCTCCCTTCTAGCTCTCTCCCTCCCTACACATTCATGTGCAATGCCAAGACACCAGCGACTCTTTTTCTTGAGTCAAAAGAATCCCTCTGGTTCCATAATCAGTAGTCGCCCCACGGTAATCTGTGTCTAAGTCCAAAGGTACTCTGGCTGCTGGGTGCTTCAGAAATTTGAGATGCTGCCTGCGGGCATGATGAGAATAGCATGGATTTTGGAATCAGACATAAAATGGATTGAAATCTCAGCTCGTGATTTGAGGCAGCCCCCCGCCTCCAACTTCTTTGAATGTGAAATGGGAATAATAGCATCTGCATTGCTGGGTGGGTGGGAGGTGTTGGCGAGATGTTTCTGAAGGCACCCAGCACATTGGAGACATTGAATACACCATTACCAGATAACGTGACCTAATAAATGAGGAGGTGGACCCCATGACTTCTGTGGCACCCAGTGATTTGGGGTTCCTGTTACGGAGACGTGCTGATGCTACACTGCAGCAAACCTAAGCATCGGTGTCCTCACGCCTTCCGTCATGCTGGTTTCGGATACACTGGGACTTGCGGCCGCTTAACGTGCGCTCAAGAATGCAGATGCCACGAGCTATCTAATTAAAACTTCCTCGAAGCTCTGACGGCAGCTCCTTTTGTTGCTTCAGTCCTGTCAAGGTGGGGGCTTTGAAATGACACTATCATGAATCAACACGTTACAGATACGCCCAGGGACGGCTCCTTTGAGCATTTACCGATCTTGCTCCCTTTATGTATTCCCTTCACCCTGAAAAGAATTGCAGTTTTCCCCAAAGGCAGCCAAGTAGCAAAAAAGGATTTGGAGAAACTTCATAAGTTTCAGGATGTGTAGTGATGTGATTTTTTTTTTTTTTTTTAATAATAATCTTTGGATCTGTATTTTCTTTTTTGTCTATGTATCATCAGCTCCCCGGAGTTCATTTTCATAAGCGTCGTTCATAGTTAATCCCAGCGTAATTTCTGTCTATCCAGGTATACTCCCACCTCACAGCTTCGCACCCAAGAAGACGCAAAAGAATGGTTACGGTCCCACTCTGCAGGAGGCCTGCAGGACCCCGCTGCCAATTCCCCTTTTTCCTCTGGCTCCAGTGTAACGTCTCCCTCCGGAACAAGATTCAACTTTTCCCAGCTTGGTGAGTAGCCACTGATAATTAGCTGTGGGGATCAGCTCCGTGGGGCGGAGATTAATCTTGTATTTTGAAGGAGGCGTGTGGTCATTGCCATGCGGTCACATCACTCTCCGTATTGATCAGCCCTCAGCAATGTAGTTTGATTATAGGCAGTTGAGAGCAAAAGAATGAGAAAAGAGAAAAGGTTTTGTTATTCTAATCAGTAATTTATTTATGTGGTTGATGTAGGTAGGCTCATAGCAAAGAGCAAGCCATTCCATTTTTGAGAAGAATGTATTGTTTCTAAGACCTCTGAAGACATAGGTTTATATCTGAGGAGGTGGCAACATCTCCCGAGTTTGGTCTCTGCATTGCTCTGCTAAGCTGGAAAGTAAAGATCCGGTTTTGAGTGAACAAGTATTCTTGGAAATGCCTACTACTGACATAATGCTTTGACTGGCACAGTGGGGAAAGGAAAAGAATTTGTAAGACAGCCCCTGCTGACATGTTAACGGATTCTTTTTCAGAGAGACAAACACACCCACATAGACTCATAAACAGGGTAGAAGAGAACAATCCAAAGCTTTATATGAAACCATGTAAAAACCGACTATGATCAGGTAGCAAGTATTATATATAGTTAGAAAAAGGGAAGATCCATTCTGGCTAGAATTACCAGGAAGGATGGGAGCTGAGCTTTCAAAGACTGATGGAGGGGGAAAAAAAATCTTGTCCACTCTCGTCTTGCTCTTTAGAAAGGTGGCCTTTTCTGAATATTGTGAATGATAAACAGAGAGTCTTTAAGGACAGGTGTGTGGCTTGTAATCAAGTAAGGCTTAACTTTTCCCTTTTAACTGAGTAGATACTTTGGAAATACTGTATATTATTGGAGTGGACAGGGGTTTTGTTTTGTTTTGTTTTTAAGATTTTATTTATTTATTTGACAGAGAGAGAGAGAGCCAAAGAGGGAACACAAGCAGGGGGAGTGGGAGAGGGAGAAGCAGGCTTCCCGCCGAGCAGGGAGCCCGATGCAGGGCTCGATCCCAGGACCCCGGGATCATGACCTGAGCCGAAGGCAGACGCTTAACGACTGAGCCACCCAGGCACCCCGAAATGGATAGGGTTTTAATAAAAAAGCCTGTTTGGGCCAAGGTGGTTGTGCCCCTTTGCCCTGAAGCTCTTTAGGTGCCATTACAAGCATGCCCCCCTGGAGGCAGTGAGACCTGTGTTCATATTGGTCTTTCCCAGCCGTAACTCTTTGAGGCAAGAGTTTCTTGTCATGCACAAATGCTTCCCATCTGATCAAAAGCCCAGTTGGACTATTTTGGGCTTTGGCTTTAAAGGGAGTTGTTCCAGATGAGTCCAGGGAGTAATTAGCTCATGCCTGGAAGGTGACACTAGCTTGTCGGAACGTGCCAAGTTGGAAAGCTGAGGCCTAGAGCCTTGCTTTGGAAATGACCCACCTTGCCTCCCTCATTTTTAGCTCTCAGTGTGTTATTCAAACGCTGATGTGACAACCTTCTAGAAAACAGACAAGGGAGGGAAGTTGGCAGGGACAGATATGGCCGATAGTAATCAGTCCCATTGTCATCCCCGTCCAGGATTTGAACAGAGACATGAATTTCCAGCCTTTCAGTTCCCTTTCTTTTTTTCCAGCGAGTCCCACCACTGTTACCCAGATGAGCTTGTCCAACCCAACCATGCTGAGGACCCACAGCCTCTCCAATGCCGATGGGCAGTATGACCCATACACCGACAGCCGATTTCGGAATAGCTCCATGTCCCTGGATGAGAAGAGCAGAACCATGAGCCGCTCGGGCTCCTTCCGGGATGGATTTGAAGAAGGTAAGCAAGGAGGGTTGCCGTCTCAAGTTACGCAGTGTCTTAATGGCCCTCCCTACCGAATTCACGACCCAAGAGCCCACCTGTAAGTGTTTCTACCTCTCTCACTCACTCTGGGGGTTGGGGCTGGGGAACTCTGAATAGCAGGGTCTGGCTCTTCATTCACCTTGTAGGGGGAAGAGGCTGCTGAAGAAACATGAGTGAACTTGGAGCTGACCGAGTTCCACTCTAGGCTTCTCCCTCTTGAACTTGGGCCACAGCTTCTTGGCATGTGCCTCCATCTTGAGGTTCAGCTGCTCGCTCACCATCTTGGCAGACTGAGTTTCTGGAGAGTTAGTTCATTTCCCTGTGCTAACCTACCCGTGTAGCTCTGGGGGCCTGTGGGCAGCCGGCCTCTCCACTCCAGAATTTTCTATTTCTCAAGCACCAGGTTTTTTAAGTTTATTCAGTTACATCCTTTTCCTTCAGGTATGCCCTTTTCCTTCTTTGCTCACTAATTGTGAATATTTGGGGTTGGATTTTTCTGTTTTGCTCATTTTAATCAGAATATTGGGAGAAAGTAGCTGTGGGCATCGTTGCCAGCCCTCTTCCTAATTTGGTTCATCTCTCTTTCCCTTTGTTCCTTCACTCAGGGTGGGAGCTAGGGAAGCAAGCGGTCAAAACGCTGTGGAGGGACAGCCCCACCCCCGAAACTGCTTCCCGAAGTTGGGAACGCTAGGACGTTGGAGTCAGTACTCATTGACTAGTGGTTAAGCATATGGAGTAACACTACCAGGGTTTGAATTCCAGTTCCCCCCTTCTTCGGTATATGATCTTAGACGAGTTACTTCACCTCCCTGTGCCTCTGGTTTTTTTTTTTAAAGATTTTATTCATTTTTTGGCAGAGAGAGACACAGTGAGAGAGGGAACACAAGCAAGGGGAGTGGGAGAGGGAGAAGCAGGCTTCCCGCGGAGCAAGGAGCCCGATGCGGGGCTCGATCCCAGGACCCTGGGATCATGACCTG